TTTTTAAAAAATATAATTTCGTATATTTAAAATATAAAAACTAAATTTGTTATTTTGTATCCACAAAACTAAATCAATCGCCCGCACTTAATGTTCCATTCTTTGATATTCTCATTTTTCATTTCTCTTTGACGGGTCACGACTTTGGTTTCACAACAATATCTGATATCATCTCAACATCGACGTTTGACGTCGTTACAACATCGATATTTCAAAATCATCTCAACATCGAAGTCTGTCATGCCTTATCATTAAAACTCAGCGCTAGCAATTTCTACACTCACAACTTAATAGCTCATATTTGTCTGACGTCTTCTTAATTTCGATGACCAATTACGCCTGCTCAACATCGACGACCAACTCCTTGACATTGATGCTCGATACAGCATAACATCAACATTCGACTCTCGTCAGCATTGCTGTATTGCCTCTCAATGCCTGATACACGGTATCGATACTCGACTTTCGACATCCTAATATTAATTATTTTTTAAGTACAAATTTTAATTAAATGATGTATTGTTTCTAAATTTTTTTTAATATTATATTTATCAAAATTTTATACAGTATTTTTAAAATATAAAATTATAATATTGTGTCATATATTTTCAATAATTGATGTGTCCAATTTCCACGTCGTGTTGTATCTGTGTCGCCGTGTCCTTATATGTGCATCATAGATTGAATTTTATTGGATGGTAGAATATTTACGAAAGTAGAGAGAGATAATTATATTAGCTTGCAATCGAAATCCTACATAAACATCGATATGTAACTAAAAAATTCATCTAATATGACATAAAAGCTCGCTGAAATCGGAGTTCGGGTGCTCCCAAAATTAGTTTTTGAAGTTTCCAACTAGCTTTTGCCTCGAGATTCGTGCCCGATCAAGCTAATTTTGTGATGACGTATCAAAACTTCACAAGATAGTTGAGTTAGAAACTTCTAGAACAAAACTCAATATCTATTTAAACTTTGGCTTCAGCAAAATTATATTTAAAATGACTAATTTGAAGAGACGAACCAAATAATATCAAAAGTAATTTGATCCAAGTACAAATAATGCCAAATCAAGCACTTGAATGTTGGTTGGAAACTTCATCATACTATTTAATGAGTCAAACAATCTTTGAATATTGTATGCTTATAGTAAAAACAAGTGATAAGAGGAATCAAATGAACCCAAGATTGATAGATTAAGATGTCATTTAGGAATAATTATTACGTCCAGACAAAAAATTGAAAATCCGGACGTATACCAAGCAATACCGAGTGCTCAATACCGAATTTCAGGTGACGTGGCGCATGATTATTGGTCTCTGGACGCGTCAGGTATCCTGACGTAATAATTGCTCGTCATTTAGTCACTTAAATGATTCAAAGATGGTTTATGATCAAGGGGATCTACATTAAATATCCAATTGAGTACTTAGAGATTTTGATTAAAATAATGGAAACATTTCTCTAAAAAAACAATAAATAAGCATTTTTCTTCATATGAATATGACATGGAATTAGATAGAGCTTATATATTTGAATAATTTTAGAGTTCTTTCAAATGATTGACATTGACATTTTTTCTCGGCCACCATCTCCTAACTATCATCGCTTGATCATCATTTGCTAATCGTAATCACCTTAACACCATTACTTGACTGTCATTGTCTAATCATTATTTCCAAACTACCATACCCCGTAAATGACATCATTCTCCGTAATTAAAAAAGAGATTGATGCTATATATTATATATGATCTTTGGAAGATAAATATCATCAAGTGTTTTGTTGTTGAAATTATTGTAATAGATCATGGGAAACCATTGACTTAGAAATCGAGTTTGGGCCTTAGTAGAGATGTCGGATTACAGTGTTGGTGTCTACAAGATATGTCTGCCTTGCTGGCAATGATCAATATTAGCGTTCGTGTTGGCGGAAAATAATTGACTTGTTGACTATGACTTACCAAACAAATGTCTTCCTTGGTGGCAACAACAAACAAAAACATTATATAGGGGCATCAGCTTTAGCAGTGATGATGGGCTCAAACCCTTTAAATATAATTTTTTCATTAGTTGAATTTGAAAATTATTAAATTTATTTTGATATTAGTGTTGCATATAAAGAATTTATATTATAATAATCTTAAAATAAATGAAATAATTTTTAAAATATATAATTTGAATCTAATATATACTTTGTAGTAATTTCATTAGTCAAATTATGAATAAATTTGACAATTTAATTTAAGCAATTGCCCAAATTTAACCCTAAAGCAACTCCAAAATAACATAAGTTGGACTTATTCCCAACCGCATCAAAATTAGCGTAAAAAATCATTTAAAAAATATATTTTTAACACATTATTACTATTATTATTATTTTATAATTATTATTTAATTTGCGTGTTTTAATTTGACATTAGTAAAAGTGCATTTCTGTTGGGCTTAATATGATTAATAGGTTTGGGCCTTTTGGGCATACCGAGAAAAGCAGCTCATTTATCAGAGTTTTGCCAAAGTGCCTAAATGGATTGCTGGGTAAGGTTAGTGTTTAACCTGAAATTGATTAGCTTTGAATTCAACCAAACCCTATATGTTTAGTAAAGAGGTTAAAATCTTGGACTCGAACCTGACCTATCAATAACCAATTTAACACGACTAGATTTGCCAACTATTTTATATTAAAAAAATAATTATAATGGCTTTTTTAAATGTTGAAATGTGGATGTATGAATTATTTTGAATACTTAAATGTATATGATTGAAAATGTTTAGTTAAATTTTAGGTTGGAGGGTCAAAAACGGGTTGGTAGGTTGGCTCGAACCTGACCCATTATTGAAATGGATCGAAAAAATGAATATGAACTCCACCCATTTATTTAATGGGTCGATCAAAACCCGAAATTCTCAGATCATATCGAGTCAAGTTTTCAAGTCATATTATGTATCGGCATTCATAGAGTTTAGCTTGAATTTTGAATTATTTTTTTTTATCGGAATCAACCGTAATCAACCAAGTCATAAGTTTTTTTTTTTTTTGGCTCGGTCCTATTTCAAGATGATTTCAAACGGATTTGGATCAAATCAAGTCAAGCTCGATATATATATATATATAGGAAGATCGCCATTTTATGTGACCAAATCATCTAAGGCGACTCTCTCTAATCTTATATTATATTGGAGTTACTCCAACCTTTTTAGTATATGCTCATTTCATATCCTATCTCTAAGGGTAAAGCCGCTCATCCACCTTAGCATCCTCATCTCTACCACACTTAACTTAGTATTATGCTTTTCTTTTAATGGCCAACATTCGGCACCATAAATCACTCTTATACAATTTTCCCTTAAGTTTGAGGGGTACTTTTTTATCACACAACAAGCCCGATGCATTCCTCCACTTCAACCATCCAATTTGAATTCTGCTTATAATATCCCCATCTATTTCACCATCACTCTGAACAATAGATCAAAGATATCTAAAATGTGTACTCTTATTAATGACTTAATCATCCAAAGTAACAATTCCATCACTAGGTCAATTACTACTAAAATTACACTCTATATATTCTGTTTTAGATTTACTCAAGCGAAAATCTTTATACTCTAAGATTGACCTTCATAATTCAAGTTTACCTTCAACTCCCTCTATAGTCTTATCAACAAGAAGAATATCATCAGCAAAAAGCATACACCAAGGTATATCCTCTTGTAAATGTCTTGTGAGAACATTCATGACTAAAGCAAAAATATATGGGCTTAAGGCTGATCCTTGATGTAACCCAACTGAAATAGGGAAATACTTGGTCAAACCACCTTGTGTTTGAACACAAGTAATAACTCATGCATACATATCTCTAATGATTTGAATATAAGTGTTATTAGCTCCTTTCTTATCAAGAACTCCCCATAGCATTTCTCTTGAAACTTTATCATATGCTTTTTCTAAATCAATAAATATCATATATATATTATCCTTATTTTCTCTATATTTCTTCAACAAACCTTTTAATAAATGTATGACTTCCATACTCGACCTACCTGTCATGAATCCAAATTGATTTTGAGAAACATTAGTATCACGCCGCAACCTATGCTCCATAACTCACTCCCATAGTTTTAAAGTATGACACATTAACTTAATTCCTCTATAATTTGCACAATCTTGTGCATTACCTTTATTCTTAAAAATAATAATTAACACACTCATTCTCCTTCACCCATCTGACATCTTTTTAGTCTTCAAAATAGTATTAAAAAGTTTAATAAGTCAAAAAATTCCTTCATCTCCTAAGTATTTCCACATCTCTATTGGAATATCATAAGGTCCAACAGTTTTTCCACCATTCATTTTCTTTAAAGCCTCTCTAACTTCGATTTTATTAATATGCCGATAAAAATAGAAATATTTATTTTCATTTAGGGTGTTAAAGTCACTACAGTCAATCTTATTTTCGCAATCTTCGTTAAAAAGTTTAGTAAAATATCTCATTCACCTTTGTTGAATATCATATTCTAAAAAAAGTTTTTTTTTTTTTTTCATCCTTAATACACTTTACTTGAACTAAATCCTTATTACTCATATATCTTTGTTTGGCTAATTTATACATTTATTGTTCTCTCTGCTTAGTATTTAATCTATTATATAAATCACTAAAAGTTAAAGTCTTGCATCGCATATTATTTTCTTATATTCTTTACGAGCCTCTTTATATCTTTGTCAATTATCAAAATTTTTAGAATTAAATTAATTATTGCATCACAAATGCAATAATTCATACAATGCAGTAAAAAATATGAAATTTGTATATTATATATTTACTTCAAAAAAATCATAACTTCTAATTTAACTAGTGAAAATTTAATATTTTTCATCAAAATGTTCAAATTAATGATATCTATCACATATCAAAAGTTATACGGTGATAATTTCCTAAAAATCAACATATCATAAATTTTTTAAAAATTTTGACCAAATTAAAATATATTAAATCATTAAAATCAAAGATATGATAACTGTTCCTTGTAAAGAGACGCGCAACTTTTATCAACATATCTTTCACTTCGCAAGGCCCTCCACGCCGGAGTTCCGGCGATCAGGCCTCCACCGCCGATGACGGCCTGTCCGAAGCAATTACAGAGTGAGGCCCTGTTCTTAACGTGAGCTCTGGTTTCTGACATGGAGGGTAGTAATTAAGAAATCACGAAAATGAGCTTTGCCGACGCCAAGGCTCATCCCGAGGACCTCCATTATTTCCAGCGAAAGCTTGCTCATTGCCTCGCAGTAGTCCTGATACACTTCCCTGCGTAAAATTTCTAATTAATGTCAAAAAACAAAAAGGAAACATATGATCAGCGTGTGTGTGTGTTATACGAAATGCCAACCAACCCGAAATGTCGAAAATTCTCGCCGAGATTGTTGGCGAAGTATTCGAGAACGACGGTGGAGCAAGGGGAGAAACGAAAGGAAAGTGTTTCTTTCCATGGGAGTTTTGAGGAGAATCAGCCGGTGAAGGTGCTGGCGTAGCCGCAGCTTTCGCCGGACTTTCGCTGAGCTCTCTGTTTCTCTTTGAGTGACATGGAGAAAAAGGATTACCTGAAATTGACAGGTCTATTCCCCTTAGCTGATTTAAGAAGAGGAAAGGACTTTAATGTCATTAATGACGGGATATTTTATAATAAATAATAACTTAAATATTAATATAATTATATATTTATTTATAAATAGTTTATATTTATAAATTGAGAGCTTTAAAAATTATAAAAAATATTCATAAAATAATCCATTATGTTTAAAAAATTCTGATGAAACATGTTAGAAATCAGATGCCTGACAATCCCAAAATAATCACTTATACTGACGTATGTTAAATTTTTAAGAAAGTGCACCAATGCCAAAAAAATAATGCAAAATTAGTGCAATTAAAGCACTATTATATCTATGCTATGGTGAACATGGCTTGTGATTTAGACTTATAAAGACTCCTAAAAAAATTATTTGTCTGAATCAAAATACTTGCTATTACATTCCTCAAAGCATGTCATATTTGGATATCATTTGGTCATCCCATTAATATTTTGAAGCTTCCTATTATGCTTTTATCTCTAGATTTGGGCTCATTTGAACTCAGATTGGGTCGATTTTGATATTGTTTGGTTCGTATTGCTGAGATGTTCAATTTGATAATAAGTTTACTAAAATTAGACTTTAGATGGTCCTTATTTAATTTTGGAAGCTTCCAATTCAGATTTGCATCAAGATTCGTGGCCGGTCAAGATGATTTTTTTTGTGACATGTCAATACTTAATTGAATAATTAATTTTTGCATTGAACTCATCCATAATAAAATTACATGAGTACGAAATAAACCCAATTAAATTGGATTAAGACTCAAATTTTCTCCAAAACAATTGATGAGATTTTGCTTTGTAATGATATTTGAATGGATGTTGTATTCTTTCTTTTATAGCTAGAAAATAAATAATAGTAATGAATGTAAAAATACGGTTAGTGTAACATCATAAATTCAAATAAAGTATTCGTATTATTGTGTGTCTGAATATTCATGATTATAGGATTGATAAAGTTTTATATTTTAATTTTGCACGAAGATCTTCCACACGCCTAGATTAAAGAAAATAACATAGCGGATTCCTAAGTTTTTACATGAAAAATCTTAAAAGAAAAAAAAGCACGGAGCCCAACCCAATTAGAATGGTTTCACTAGTTTATGTTGGAAGTTATAAATGGTGCAATTCCCCATAATTGGGGAAGATGTTGATATAATATAATAGATATAAACTATAAATGATGCATTTTTTTATTGAGGTTGGATGAGTCTTAAGGCATTGAAACCATCTACAATAAATCATTTATGATTTATTCAATTGTTCTTGTTCTTATATGATGAGAGTAGACCATAATCAAAGAAGTTCATTATAAATTTTAGCGTTGACATTGGCTTTATCAACAGTAACATTCGTCGGTCTTATTAGCGATGATAAATAATGAAATAAGCTGATGTGGATGTTAATATTTAATGACATGCATTAGTTTTTAGGATCGATATGGTGTGTATCACCATTGTTGGTGATGATGTCTGAAGAAGTTGGAATGCATTGACATTATGTGTCGACGTTATGCATTGACCCAATAAGTGATTGCATACGTCAATGTTAGCGGTGATGACAAGCATCGAAGTTCGCATGCACAATATTTCATAACCTGGCCTGAAACTGCATTGGTCATATTATGGCAGGGCTAACCCCAAGATCTAGTTGGAGAAGTACTAAAATAAATTTTCTAATTTATATACTACACAGAGTCACTATTGAATGCAATATAAAATGTAAGACCACTGAATCTTAACTTAATTTTGTATATGTCATCCAAAAATATATAATCTGAAGGCTGTCTACAATAGTGCTTGACAATAGAGAGTATAACATAAATAAAAGTCAAGCATACAAAAATAAAAATTAACTAAAACATACATACAACATAGATCAGAGTCTGTTATACAAACTACTTAGCTCGCTTATTACCCTTCCTCGAGCCTGGAAATAAAAGAAAAAATAGAAATGAGTTAATAAGGCTCGTACGTAAGCTATCGTAGCCTAAAACATAAATAAATAAATAAATAAAGAAAACTAATATGAATCATATAATAAAATTGAATTCAATTAAATAAATATAGAATTAACTGAATTATGAACAATCACTTTTTAATGATTATCAGAATAGATCTTAAGCCCAAATTTTCATATATCTTTGTTACCAAAATCCAACCTCGGTCGTCCATTAACACTCGTAGAATAGAATCCACCTTTGTCATTCATATTTGTTGCGTCCTGGAGTATTCGCGGCGGTAGAGAAATATATGGTTTAACGTCTTAGCATTGTACGAAGATCCAGCACACAAGCAGATAAGTGAGAGGGTGTAGCATTCATAAGAGACACCAAAGTTTTTACGTGGAAAACCACTAAAAAGGGGGAAAAAGCATTATCGGATAGAAATAAATATATATAGTCGCCCCCTGTGGTAACGGTAAGATTTGCTTTCATCAGCCTGTTTTGTCATGTTTTTTGTTTTCCTTTCCTCGTTATGCCTGCGGTGTGGGGATTTTTGGCTGATTCTGAAGATTGTAGTTTGTAGTGTTATGGGTGTTGCTTTTCGAACATCCTTTTTTTATTTTTTTTTGCTTAATTTAGTCATTTTCAGCTCGTATAGAAGGAGGATTTTTAACGGAAGTAACCGAAAAAAATTGCATGGAGACTTAGTCATTTTTTGTTTCATTGAGACGTTGGCCAGGTTTTAGCTTTATTTAGGACTTTTCAGTTGAAGAGTTTATAATTTGGTGTGGTGATGGCGCGGAGACTACGAATGCTACTTGACCAACTCTTCCAATTGTTTGAACCAGAAACAGATGCTAATCCTTTAGTCTGCCACCTATGGTACCGAGAATTCATCCCTATTGTGATGGTGAGAGATTCCTGGTTACATCGAGTATACGATTAACTAAGCCTATCTTTTAACATGGTTAGCCTAGTAATCTTTTTAGAGGAAATAATTGATGTACTCCTGTCCTGTCTGGCTTGATCCTAATGATTTAAGGAATAACATATATTTAATTGATATCTCCCCTCAAATTGATGCTAGTTGTTTTAGAAGCATCAAATTGTCTACGAGGAACTAATAAGGTTTTTGTGCATGACACCCATACACATGTTGACTAACAAATCGAAGGAAAAAAAATTCGAGGACACCCACTGAGTAATGAAAAATAGAAGTGGAGAAGATTATAGAAATATTGTAGCCTAAAGAGCAAAATCAGATCTCATAAGAGATTCTATGAAAGATTACCTTAAATATGGCTAGAAACTACAGGTGAAGGCCGTTAAAGAAAGAAGAATAATAGATCGAAATCTCAGTTGTTTGAAACACAGGCGTGAAGATCCGAAGTCACAGTGGAAGACGAAGTCGCGAATCTCATCCGTTGAGAAACTGCTTTCAATAACAAGTTTTGTAAGCCGAAGTCGCAGTGGAAGACGAAGTCAAGAAGGCACGAAGCCGCTTTGCAAGCGTGAGGCAAAGAAGAATACGAAAATACGAAATGAGTTATAGCGTGAGGCGTCTAGGGTTTTTTCTTTAAAGTGTATAATATAAGCTTGCTAATATTTAAATAAAAATAATAAAATAAATATAATATATGTAATATAATCAAGTAGCTTGATAAGCTTTCAAGTCAAGTTGGGTTGAGCTCGAACTCGAGTTCGTTTATTATACAAGCTCTATTATAGGCTCGAGCTTGAACTCGAAGCTCGATATGCTGGCTCGCGAGCTCGTTAACGAGTCGAGTTTGAACCGGCTCACTTACATTCCTAATGGTGATTCCTCAACCACACTTGTTGTGGAGGGCCAATTTCTTAAATTAGAGCCTGCTGAGTGAAAAAAAAAAAAACTTGGATGTTAGAAGCTTTGGAGGCGAAGCTCTTAAACACACTTTTGAAGGAGAGCGACGAGCTCTTAGACGTGCTCAAGGCGAATGATTGCATTGTTTGACGAGAGTTTGCCAATACGAGAATGCTCTGATGACAAAGATTGACATTGGAGGAATGGTGATCATCATTTTTTGCTTGATGGAGGCAGCATTCACGCAAAGACAACGAGACCATTGGAGTTGGTAGGCAGAGACAAGATCATTGTTGACAAATTGTGTTGTTTGTTTCCCCTTACTCTAAAAGAAGAGGCTAAAGGATTATATCATCTAAAATATTTATTTTTTCAATTAGACTCCTTGCCCTCGAACAAAGGATTCTCATCATTATATAAAAAAATTTAGCACGACACAAGGCTAAGTATCAACAATTAAAATAACAAAATCTAACCTAATAAGGAACTTGTAACTCTATTCCTAAATCAAAATTTTAAAAATTGTAATGCTTAATCGCACGGGCTTTAATTATGAAATAAAAATAGAAGGTTTATGATATGCCATAATTCCAATTGACATCTCTCCTCAAATTGACTCTGGTTGTTCCAGAAGTTTTAATGATGAGAACATATGGAATTGATGATATTTTTGTGTCATAGCTCTCATAAATATGTCAACAATATAAATATTTGCAGAAATATAAGGAAGAGAAATAATATTAGTGTTGAAGGATTTTTGAATCAAATTACTATCTAATTCAATGTGCTTTGAGAGCTCATGATAAAAGCAGGATTAGCCACAATTCAAATGAAATTTGTGATTACAAGCAATAATAGACGGTGGCTCATGTGATGGTTGTACTATTTATAGAAATAATAAAAATATAATATATGTAACACATATAGATATGCATAACATTGATTGTCATATTCAAATTGAATTTTTAATAGAATTATTTTACGTTTAAATTGAGCATGCATATTATTCTTAATGCCTTATATTATTGTAATTTAGAAGCATGAGGTGTTTACTGTAATTTAGAAGCATGAGGTGTAAATGAATACAAGTATTATTCAAAAGTTTAAAATGAGTGGAAAATGAGAGAATATATATCGTAAGCATGACACTCCAAGAGAAATGTATTTATATATATATTTTAATTTAGAGGTTTTAGTGAAAATTTAATTAACCATCCGACCGTCTGTTTCCGCCTCGTAATTCGAGCATCCGGGCCAGGTCCTGATAGTTTTTGAGGTTTTGTTTTAGACTAATAAATTGTTTATATAAAATTTAAAAAGATATAAGTTTCCTCTTAGAGAGAGAGAGAGAGAGAGAGAGAGAGAGAGAGAGAGAGAGAGAGAGTAAAGAGAGAGGTAGAAGAGAGTGAGAGAAAGGTGAAGTCAGAAGGGGCTCGATGACGGTGACTACCGAGGAAAGGTCTACGTGATTCAATCTGTAAGGACGGCTGCAAATTAGGTTTTGATCCTATAATTCTCGTATTCTACTAGCAGAAGTAAAAAGTTCATTTTTTTATTCCTAAGCTAAAGTCACTTAACCACACATGCATAGGTCTGATTGAGATCAACGGATGAGAGGGATTGGATAGGTGGTAGTGTAGCAGTAGTGGAAAATAATTAGTAGTATATTAATATATTGAAGTAAAGCACTAGCCTATTCCCTATTCCTTCTCCCACTCGTCAATTGTCTTCTACCTTCGAACAGTGAGCAGGTCGCATGAAGCAAAGGCTGGTTGGTGGCTGGCTGTAGCTGCTGCTGTAGGTTTATAAATCTGAAAAAATGTGAAAATCAGTAGGAAAATGAAGAGCTGCTGTGGGAAGAAACTTCAGAAAACATTGAGGTAAGAAAGCAATAAAGATAAGGGCTGTAAGTTTGCTAAAATCTGGAAGAAGCATGTTGAAATATGAGTGTCCTTAATGGAGTGTTGCTGTAATTCAGGTTGTTGCAATCAGTGTTTCTGTGCTATTATTTTTCTGAAATTAATTGATGGAATCCAGTAAGGGACTGTTGAAATGCTGAAATAAAAGGTTTGTTGTATGCTGTTGAAATTATGTGTGCTGCTATGTGCTGAAATGAAAGGGGGATGCTGAAATTGGTTTATTGAATTCAGAAGGAGAAAATAGAAAAGAAAGGACGGTGTGGGAGAAAGAGTTTTAGGAGAACAAAGGAATGTTTGATTGAATGAAGAAGAGTGCAATTGAGGTAAATTTCAATATATTCATATTTCTTGTGTTATTTTATTTAAAAGCATGTATAAATAAAGAAATGTATGTTTAGGTTGTTTACAATAGGAAAAGAATGCAAGATTTAAGAGACCCAATTCCTAGTAAGTTGAGATATCTAAACGATGTCATGAGTATTAATAAAATTTTATATATTTGCAATCTCGCATTTGTTTCTAGTTTATTCCAGTTTATTCATGTATAAATTTGTTGATTCATTAAATAGTAACTACAATAACATATTTTATGATTGTTAAAAGTGAGAGGTTTGGATAGGTGAAATAAGTCATATATGGGGATAGTCTCGCATAAGTAAAGGCGAAAGATCTGATGAGGTAAACCTATACTCTCTACATTTTAAAAGTTGAAAATTCGGACTCAACCTTGAATGAGAGAGCAGCCTCAATTCTAAAAGTTGAGAATTCGGACCCAACTTTGACTTAGAAAACTGGAAGGGTACAAAAGACTATATCCATCATATGAATTGTATAAATATGTTGAACAATAAACATGATAGAATGTGATGTTATGCATTTCTTATATTAAGTATGGAATTACATGTGCTTTAAATTAATTGCTCATATATTTATTATTATTTCGTATACATTGCTTACGTATTTTATTGAGCTCTAGCTCATTAGCAGTGGTTGTACCGCAGGAAAATGGAACCAGTAGGCCATTAAACAAAAAGGGCGACAAAACTTTTGGATTACATACACGTTTTGGGTATACAAAGAAATCAGAGTAGGAGCTGTACAAACACTTTTGAATATATAAGTGAATTTTAAAAAGTTTTGTAAAGCTCTATGTTTCATTTGAGGTATTTTAAATATGCTTCATGTTATGTGTATAAAACTTGTGATGCCGATTGCCGAGATAGTCTGAATAGACTACTTCCTAATCACCTAATGCTAATAGAAGTAGTTCAAAATAGGTGTTAATAAGAAATATGTCTGTTCAGATTTTTCCTATCTGTCACACTCTAGAATGACTGTGGGTGTCAAAATGGGGTGTGACAGATCCTTCTTTATTTTATTAAGTGTTGGCGGCAACTTCCTATAACCCATTCTCTTTTTCATATTCAAGCCTCTTGTTGCAGAATTTCTTTTTTTAAGCGGACTAGTGGGGTCCCGTGCCTTCAGGGCTCCACTTGGTATCTGCCCTTGTCTGTATGTTTGTTTTTATTTATAGGCTAATAATTTAATGGATAAAAATGACTTGTTAAAAACAGTGAGTGCTGACAGGAAAAAAACCAAACTGTAGCATATGCTGTTTATTATTATACAGATAAAACTCATGCTAAACAATCATGGCAGCGTAATTTGTTAATTGTTGGTCGAGCAGTTAGCTTACCAAATTTGGAAGGCTTAAGCACTTAATTCCTGGTTTAATGACTGAAGATTCCTTTATCGATGCATTATCCATCTCATTCTTTAATTTTGAACTACTAAAGGACATAATATTGATTGCTATCATTAGATTTTATTCTTTGCTATTGCATGTAGAATTATGCCATCAAAAATCTAGAGCTGTCCTTTATCGTATAAGAACAATAATTTACACCTGTACGGTGACTAGATTTGGAATTTCCTTTTATATCAGTTTTACTTACAGTTATTTTTCCCATTTAGTATAGTTTTTTTAGTCAAAAGTTTAACTTCTTGATTTATTGTTAGTGCATCACTATATTGTCTTGTTGAGAAGGATTAGTTTGATACTTTCAGTTCCGTATGATTTTTCAGTAAAAATCATGATACTTTCTTGATGAGAAAACACAATTTTCCTCTTCTAGTCACATAAATTGCCCTTTTATTGCCTATAGTTTACCAATTTTCTGAATTGATTTGTAGTGTTGTGACAATGTTACTTACTGAGAAAGCATTTACAATGCAACTTTGTCATTTTTTAGGTTATCGTAAGACTCTGCCATTGAAATGCTTGCCGAAAGTGACATGTTTTAAAAAAGAAATCGAAGATTTGAAGGCTGACATCTACAGGATAAATCCTGTTAAGTTATGAATCACCGAGAGGGCAGATTTGTAAGGTTAGATTTTGTTCTCTTCATTAAGCTTCAATACTGTGCTTTACATCTCCCATGAATCTTAATTTGCAGCATCTCTGCCGGAGGATTTGATTGGGCATGTGTTACTTTAAAATTCTTCAGAGTTTTTCTTGGTGTTTGAGCTCATGTCAGCTGCTGTTTATTTATGCATATTTGTTGGAATTAAAAAAATATACCCTTTAGGCCTTTATTCGTAGTTCTTTTAGGTTTATGGTTTCAGGCATATAAAAAGTCAAATTGAGATTCAAATTTCTTGATTATTTAACAAAAAGAAAAAAAAAACAGTATGTATTTGTTTCTCTTAAAATGATTTTAGTCATTGAGAAAAAGTGCAGAGATATGGGCAGGATTTAGCTATAGGAAATACAAGATTTTAGCAGGGGATTCAGGCGGCCATAGTGGGATATCTGACAGAAGTAATGATTTAAAGATTTTATATTCTCTCTCTTTTTTTTTTTTTATTACAAAGGTCAACAACCGACGAAGGAATCGTAGATCGACGGCTACGATTGGGAGCTTATATTTCTGATGTTGTCATGTCATTTTATGATATTTTTTTTTCTATGTTATTTTATGTATCTTTTATTTCATGCATTAGTGACTATTTTGCCCTTATGAAGGCATAGTGTTTGTTGTAGCCCGATGGGCATGTGAGTCATTTTCATTTTCATGCTTTGAGATCTTTATAAAGGGGTCTCCTCCTATTGTATGAGCTACTGTTGAATCAATAAAATTTCTGAGTTTTCATTCTTCTTGTCTTGCTTGAGAGCTTGAGAGAAAGTGAGGAGACCTAGGAGAGGCTCCACCCGAAATACCCAACAGCCCACGACGGTGAGCTCTTGGTTTTATGCTATTTGGTTCGCTGATTTCCTCTTCCCCACCAAGCTTCCAACCACCTGACCCTCTCTCTTGCCTCTCTCTCCGTCCCCTACAGCCAGCCCCGACAAAAGACCACCCCCCGACCCGCCAGCCCAGAATTCCGCCTCCCCCTTGCCGCCGGTCAGCGGCCTAGCCCAGTCGCCGCCCTTCCTCCTCTAGTCTGGCCGAGACTTTCTCCTGGTGAATCCCGCCGTCCATCCTCCTTGGATGGTTCGAATTTCAGCCTTCAAACCTCCTTTAATTCTTTCTTAATTTTTCACCTCAATTAAGCAAGAAAATTAATGGAGGATTGATTTATTTGAATTCAAATTCGAAATTTCCTTCTCCCCTTATTGAAATTGCTCTAATAAATTGAAATTTGGAATTAAAAGCTCAGATTTTAATTCCTTCATTGGGGCCCACCAATTAATTAAAATCCCTCTTTTCTTCTCTTGCTTGGCCGGCCATCCTCTCCTCACCTTTTCTCTCTCTACTTGCCACATAGGCACCCACTAATTCCCTTTTTAATTCCCCCTTAATAACCGCTTCTCTTTAATTGAAAATTTGGAGGTTTTTATTGCAATTAACCTCTCCCTCCAACCTAAGAAAATCTGAAAATTCAAATTCAGATTTTCCCTTGGTCTTCCCCTAGCTCTCGGCTCCATCCTCCTTCCCTTGTCTTCTTCCTGCCCTTCCTCAATGTTGAATGGCGGATCCGGAGCTTGAATGGGGATTAGTATTCCACGCCGACGGGAGCATTGATATCCTAAGATCTCCTTGCTTTGACGTAGGATTTGAAGACGACGCCACAATTGAAGAGTACTTGGAGCGAGTCGTCCCGATTCTCGCAAGTATCTTCGACCGACAGTTTCGTGACTACACTTGGACGATCATCGGACGCCATCCACCACCACCTCCTCCGGCGAATACCTCTCCGGTAACAAAGTCTTTCGTCTCCTCTTCCATAGTGGTGCTCTCCATCTTCGCATGGTTCTTTCTTCTCCGTTAAAACCCAAGAGTGAACGAGTGAGAGGGTGCTCAAGGTGAAATTCTTCATTATTAATTGTGGGATAATTGTTATGAGCAATTAAGTAGATCTTTAATTTTGGAGTGTTATGAATTGTTTGGTTATCTCAAAGCAAATCTTCGCCTAAGCAAGTTAATTACCTAGAATAATTTAAACCTTCATTTTATTGGTAATAAAATTTGTTTTGACAATGCTTTAAATAACTTTCATTTTATTTTCCAAATGCAATTCCTACTTTGATTCACATCATTAAGTCTTTTTTAACAATTACGGCATTGGTACCAATTTCTTCTAACCAGTCCCAATAAAAACATCATTTGTCATGGATTAAGCTTGCTATTTGTTTGCTGTATTTTCTTATCTTTGCATGTCCATGTGTTCTCAAGTGAGTGCAGTAAACTGGAGTTGCTCCATACATGTGGTCGGTGTTCAGTAAATAATAAAACAAATTTTTTTTGCAAATATAAACATTCAGTTTTCAAGACCCATAATTCTCCATAGTGATACTTCTCTTTTTTTCCCATTTAATTTTTCAAGCTATGATTGTAATTTAAATATCATGATTGTCCCCTTCCCTCTATAGGTGAATTCGATGGAATATTACACCTTTTGCATGACTAGCATATCCGAAACAGAGCTATTATATACAAGACATGGATAACGTTATCATTTAATCTACACCAGAAAAAAGATTTTCTTTGAAGCAATGCAGAATTTCTGATCTTAGGTACAGAAAGCTGCTTATGGGAAGTATGGATTGGCATGAAACTTGAAACTGTCATTATTGAAACTTGAAAGTATGAGACTGAACGCTATCTTGGTGATTAGTTTTCCTTGTGGAATGGTTTTTTCATGCTTTTAGTTCAAGTAGAGCAATGCAGTGATTAAGAGAATTATAGAGTAAAAAGCACAAAGCAAAGCAGCTTGAGATTTGTTAAAGGCTTAAACGACTGACTGATGAAGAACAAGACGTTCTGATAGAATTTTCTATTTTTTTTTAATGTTTTATGCTGCTTTTAATGGATATTGAAGAGGCACTATAAAGGCAGCACCAGCACGGGCTTGTAGGGTTATTTATGAGGGCTTGTATAGTTAGTTATTGGATTTTTTTTTTATTTATTTTTTCTATTTTTTCTTTCTGTGTTGCAATGATGTTTGCTTTTAATGATGGTCTAGGTTTGTAAAGATTGAGTTTCCATGTTTTAAATAAAATTATTTTTGGTAGATGAGTGAATAAAAAAAAGGTTATAAACTACTAGCTATTGTTTATTGTACATATAGTGAGTTTTTTTTTTCTTCTCTGGAGTGATTAAAAAAATACTGTTAGTATGAGGCCAGTAGATTCTTCTCTATTTAGTCTGATTTCAAGAAACCTGCTCTTACTCTAATTATTATATTATAGGTCCTATTGTATTCTCATCTTAATTATTATGAGGAATTAACCCAAGAACTTTTTCTAATTATTATAAGGTTATAAACAATTTCAAAAGTTAATTTCTTTCTTCTAAGTACCACACATTTCTCCATGAATATTTTGCCTTAAAATGAGCATTTTTTTCATTGGTATTCTTAGTTTCCACATTTGATATTCCTTTTAATATACTAAGCACTCATGATTTAAATATGCAGGTTTCATGACTGGAGTTCTGAGAAATCTTCAAGTACAGGTAGTACATTTTCTGGAGAAAAATGGAATCCATTTAGTTGGGTAACTGCTATTATCCAAAGATTCTTGCAGTTAATTCATGATATAAGCGGAAAAAGTTTTGGCTCTAGTTCAATTTATGATTTAGCTCTCGAGGAACCACAATCCAGAAAAATAATTCTTGACCCTCAAGGTGCATTTCTTCAAAGGTGGAACAAAGTATTTGTCCTTTCTTGCTTGATAGCAGTATCCGTGGATCCGTTATTTTTTTACATTCCTATAGTGAATAGGGATGGTAAATGCCTCGAGCTAGATAAACGATTGGAAATTATAGCCAGTGTTTTACGCTCATTCACAGATGTCTTTTATTTGGTCCATATTTTTTTCCAATTTAGAACTGGTTACATTGCTCCTTCATCTCGAGTATTTGGAAGAGGAGTTTTGGTTGATGATTCTTCAGCAATAGCTAGACGGTATCTTTCATCATATTTCCTCATCGATATCCTTGCTGTCCTTCCTCTTCCACAGGTATTCAATTTCCATGGTTAAACCATTAGATGAATTTGACTAATCTTGTTATAATTGACCGGTTGGCGAACATTTGAAGTTTCCTTTTGCTTCACAAAATGGTTTTTCTGGGTTGTGAACGTTCTCCCAAGATATTCTGTGAATGATTTTGAGTGGGTGATTGTTCATGATTTGAAAACTTAGCAAAATCTCACTTCTTACATTTTATGTAACACATTTGTTTTAATTTTTATTTGATAATCTCTTACATATAGATCATCTTTTTATTAAGAAATATATTTTTTAGCATGGCCTGATGCATTTGCGGATGTTTGTGTTTTTTCCTTGATGGTTTATTACAGTTGGGGGAAACAAGATGAGTTACATGCTATGGATAGCGTTGGAAATGTCTATTTAGGTGAATGATTATGAGTGCAGCGATTGTTCATGATTCGAGAACATATCAAAATATTCCATAATATATTTTGTATTGTAAATTTGTTTTAATTTTTTTATGGACAATTTCGCAGATCTTGATATTCTCTTTATTAATAAATATTTCCTTAGTATCGCCTAGTGATGCCTGTAAAGTAAATTATTTAGGCTTTTTTTATTGAATGATGGCCCATTACAACTGGGGGGAACTTTATTTGATGTGTTATCTATGGAGTTTGGGTTTGACCCACGAACTGATTCAGCCGATCAATGATGAGCTAAATTGGCCAATTTATTAAAATTGTTTGAAATTAGAACCAAATATGGTGGTTCAAACACGTCAACCTGAAATTAGTTTGGTAAGGGATGTGTTGGGGCTTACTTGAAATAATATATCCCATTTGATCTACCTCTTTCGGGTTAGTAAGAGAGAGGTGGGAGGGGCTACTAGTGAAAGGTGAAGGATAGGGAAATGAGAGATTTAAAGAGGGGGAGAAAGAGAGGATGATGCAAAGAAGGGAGATAGTCATGGGTTTGTGATGTAAGCACACTAGTTAGAAAAGCCAAAAACAAGAGAACAAAGAACAAAACTAAAACTAAACTTGATTTAAATAGTTGCAATCATCTATAACATCCAAATTTGACGAAGAAAGCTAGAAGAGAATTCAAAGAAACAAAGGAAATAAAAAAACAACGCTATCCTCAGACAATCGTCAGAGCGGGTTACTCACATGCATCGAAATGTAGATTAAGTATAAGTGCTCTAGGGCTAGCAAACCGATGGTCCACCACTGCACGATAGTCCAACTGATCATTCCAAACTCCTCCAGTAAATGCTCCCAAATCAGCCAACAAACACCACCAAAGCTCAAGAAGAAGGATACAGATGGAGTGGAACTTGCGGAGAGACGAAAGAGATTAGAAGCCAAGACGAAGGGTGGAAAGCACTCGCAAGTCTTTCCTCGAGAGAAGGGAAGAAGAATGGAACAAGCTCGCAAGATTTTCCAATAACCCGCAGGTCAATAGCAAAAATGCTCTCAATATTCAACTCCTCCTTCTCAAAACATCTTATATTTATAGGTAAGAAAGGGGAATACAAATAGCCACTTTAATGAAATTTCACAAGAACCCAAGCATTATAAGTCACGGAATTCCCCCAAGCATTTCACGGAAAACAGCCCAGCCAGGAACCAAAGAAGCAGCCACGGGAACCAAAGAGGCCCGCACAGAACCGAGGCGCCAAAAGACACGGAAAGACCACCCAGCTCAGGAATCCAGCAACCAGCCGGAAAACCAAGGAGCCATGGCACGGGAAACAACCAGCACAGGGAGCCCAAAAACAGCCACGAAATCCCATGGGACAAAGATAAATATTAAAGAAGAAAAGGGGACAAGACCACTCCAATAATGAATCCAACTTATGAGCTTACCTTTAGAACATTAATGAGCTACTAAACTTTAGCTCATCATTAATGAGCTAGCAACTAAGAAAATGAGCTCAACTCCAACGAACCAACCTCCTCCACATATCACCATAGGCCCCAAAACCGTGGACCATAAGCCAACCTGTGAACCAGCAGCAGCCAAAGACCAACCGAGCCAGCAAACCAGTCTACCAAGCCCCAAGAACTATCTACCATGATCATTGGATGCTTTCCCATCATTGAATAGCTAAAAAAAGAAAAGAACATAAGAAAAACATACTAATGTTCAATATAAAATAAAAATACAGAATATTTGATAGCATCAGTTTGAGATAGAGAGAAAGTGGTGAATGAAGATGGAGAGGGTGAGATAAGAAGAGGAATATAATGAGATAGACCTTTAAATATAGAGGTTGATGGAAAGATTGTGAGCTCAAATTCCAAAGATTGTTGTGGTTGCCAGCTGTGAGGAGAGGAGGGGGGAGGGGGCTTAAGGCAAAAGGAAAGTGTTAGGTCTTGTATTTGTGATGTTAATGTTGCTTACACTTGGATCCATGATGATAATATAAGTACTTGAATACAAGATTGAATATGTGTGGGAGAGAGTGGGGATCCCTTTCAATCTTTTTACTTCATTTAGTGGTGATTGTCAAAGTGCTATTTCTAAAGCATAGGGAACTCACTCGTAGCTTATTTACAACCCATATGAAGTGATGAACTAACTAGTTTAAGAGGGAGGGAGATGAAGTACCCATTCAAGCACTTAACTACATGGTGTTTGTTAACATGCCATGTCTATAACATAGTGAATTTGCTCAAATCCTTTTGCAACCCATATGAATTATGATGCACTGACACTTTTTAAAGAGACGTGCAGTGTCCGACACATCGCGCGTCTGACACGTCGAAAACATGTCCGATTAAAAAAAGTATTAAATACAAATTGGATATGCATGTCTTAAATTTTTATGAAATTTTTAAATATAATTTCTTGTATTTAAAAATTTTATTTATTTAAAATATAAAAACTAAATTTCATATTTTCTATCCATAACATCAAATCCATCGCCCGCACATTACCCCATTTATTAAATATTCTCATTTTCATTTCTCTTTGGCAAGTTACGACTTTGGTTTCACAATAATGACTGATGTCATCTCAACATTGAAGTTTGAATCTGTTACAACATTGACATTTCAAAATCATCTCAACATCAAAGTCTAACACTGTCTTGACATTGATGCTTAACGCTAGCAATTTCTACACCCACAACTCGACAACTCATCTTTTTCCGACGTCATCTTAACATTGACGACCAACGCCCTCTCAACCTCGATGACAAACGCCCTCTTGACATCGACGCCTGATACTTACCGCATAACACGATGCTCTATTCTCAACAGCATGGTTGTCTCCTCTCTTGATGCCTGATACACGACATTGACATCTGACTCTTAACATCCTAATATTAATCATTTTAAGCACAAATTTTGGTTAAATGACTTATTATTTCTATATTATTTTTAATATTATACTTATTTAATTTTATACACCATTTTTAAAATACAAAAATTATAATACCGTGTCCAACTCGTGCCTATCTTATATTGTTTTAGCTTATGATTTTGTAATTACTAATATCTTATTTAAAAAATAATAGATGAGCCTCTCATCACTTATAAGAATGGATATAGTGAAACCCATATTGATTATGTTTTATATGAATAATAGATCTTTTAGATTGCAAAAATTGTAAAGTTTTTTTAAGTTAAAATTCTGTGTCCAACATTACTTATTAGTTTTGGACTTCAAGATGAAAGGGCATAATATAAAAAATGAAATAAAATGTTGTTCTATGATTATATGGGAGCATTTAAAGAACACTAACACAAACATTTTTTAGAGTAAGATTTAAGATTTTAAAATTTTGACTATGCCTGAAAAAATTTAATGTTATGTAGAAAAACGTAGCTTGTAATATTAAGAATATTGCAAATGATATGCTTACAATATCAAAAGAAAAAGCTCATAATAATAAAAATAGTTGGTAGCGGAATAAAAAAAAGCAAGAAAAAATAAAATAAAATTTATTATAAAAATTAGTTTAGATTTAAAAACTCAGAAAATTGGGTAAGATATAAATAGGCTCGTAAGGATTCTAAAAAATTAGTATGAGATGCAAAAAATTTAGCTTTTAATTTTATATATAATAAATTAGATACTTAGGAAGGTAAAAGACACGCGCGCGCTCACACACACACATACACACACACAATCCCGTGCTCTTTCTTGCTCTCTCTCTCTCTCTCACACACACACACACTCCCGTGCTCTTTCTTGCTCTCTCTCTCTCACACACACACACATACACACACACA